CAGAGCCCAGATTACAAAAATACTCTCTTTTCTCCCTGCCTTTTCATCCAATTCAAACAGTATGACAAAGACCTCATGGCTTAAAAAACTATCAATAGCACTCAGTCTCCAACATGACAGTGGCATGTATCCCCACTCAGCTTAACACGTATCCCCACTCAGCTTAACTTCAACCAGGCAAATCCATTTCTTCTCTCAGTTGAATAATGCAATGTTCACTAAAGATGCACATCTTCATGTAGAACGTAGTTTTTTGGAAAACCCCAAATATAAGCATAGCAGAATTATAAAAACTTAATGGTAATTTTCTGAAGTTGCTCAAACTTCTATGTGAACACACAGACAAATTCTGATGACTAAACATCTGCCACTGAAGAAGAGAAGCTGTTTTTTCAATCATGGGCTGAATATTCATCAAACGAAACCTCTGAAGGAAACCAGGCCCTAGAGAAGGCAACAGCTGAACTTATACTTTACAATGGCAACCAAACACTCAAAGAGGGAAGAAGAGATAAGACAAAGCTTCTGCACAGAAATATTTGTGCTACAGTGCATTGAATTTGAGTAATTAAAAGTCATGCTGTCAGAAAAAAAAAAGATGAAAATTATGTTTGAGGTTTCTTTCACCTCTACTACAGCAAAACATACTTCAAGTTAGACTGAATGTGTGGAGTATGTTATGTGGAAAAAACACCAGCTCCCATTTTCTCTACCCACTATGCTTTTCTCTCTGTACCTTCATCTTTGCAAGTGACCTGCAAACGTGTAGCTTTGTCATTTACTTTATCACAGCAGCCAGGAACTGTCCAGTAACATTTGGCCCTTTATTTTCAGCAGTTTACTTACTGCTCACAGATCAAAATGATTAACTATCTCCTTTCTAAGCTCCCATTAAAAAATATCTCTGCTGAATCAGAGAGACTTGAGATCGCTTGTAAATGATCAGATAAAGCATTACAGAACTTTACTACTAATTTTTTGTTGCTTTCCAGATCCAACAGATAGATTTTCTTCTACGTATTGTCATCCTAGACACTTCAACAAAGTGCCACTAGTAGTAATGATAATGATAATGATGTTCTGTTATTTACATCTGTGTTCACTGTCAGAAATAAAAACTGTATGCTAAAAATAGAAACATATGGAAACCAGAATACAGTCACAGGAAGGCCAGTGCAATTTGTATTTTCAACAGATTCTAGCAGCCTACATTGCTTGAAGCATCACTGCCTATACCACTATAGTCTACATTTTACTAAGCTAATGAATGTAAGACTTGCATAGTGAGAATCTTTGGTGTAACTTGTATTTTTTATATGTTAGCTAATTGGAGGTAAAAGAAGAAAATTTTTTTTGTTGAAGATGGACTCCAAGGGATTAGCTGCACTTCAATCAAATATCTATGGCACAGCCCATCTACTTTGCTATTCTTCTACTAAAATTCTGTAAAATTAAACTAGAGAAGTGCATGAAGAGGTAACACAGGACAATTCTTAACTTGGAATTAATGACAAGTACATGTACTTCTTCAGGTTCAGACAAGATATGTTGTTTAACCTTTCAAAGCTTATCTTTTCCTGGAAGAATGTACACATGGTGAAACCTGTGGGCAGAATGTAGGTAAGCCTAAAAATATTTGAGCTCTGTGCATGCTTCTACACTGCATAATAAAAATGAGAGATGCTAGTTTTGAAATCATCCTTGAGATGTAAGACTCTATGGTAGAAAAAAGAGATGGCACTTCAATGTGCAAATATACAAAGGTTAATGTTTGGGCTTGGGGCTTTCAGTAAGAAATATGTCTAGTACTAGTACCAAGCAAGAGGTGGAACTCAGGACTCTGAAGGGTTAAAGTGAACTTTAGCCTTCCACCAATCACCATTTGGTACTGTATCTTCATAAATTTCCCCCGTTTATGGAGTGTTTTTGATGGCAGGCAATTCTTTGTTGAAAGTTAAGTGCTCTTTTATATGAATAAATAAAGAAGGCATTGGTTTGAATGAATACATTATTTTGACAAATGTTTATTGGAAACCCAATTATGGCTTCATAAATCAGTGCTATCTGTGGTACATCAGGTGAGCTCACCCATGCCATCAAATGGCACGTTGAATATTAGTAAGATAATTAAAACAATTCTGTTGGATGTTGTTCTTCTTACCCAGGTCTGACAGTAGTCAAAACAGGAAGAAATTGTTTATTAATTTTATTTCACTTATTAAAATACTTCTTGTAAGATGTAATGGGCATACTTAACACACAAAAAAAGGGAGAAAAAACCCATTTGTTTTCAATTTGCAGTTAGATTAAAATGACAAGGTCAAGCACAACGCATGAACTGAGTGGCAGCTGAATTTTAAGATTAGTCAGGAACAGAAAGGATATGTATGAAGTCTATTGTTTAAACTTTACACCCAGGTGAAGTGGGGCTTTTTTTGTTTTGTCTGAAGAGGTCACTGGTGATATGAAATGTGTCTGGAGTCAATTCATGTGCTTCCTTGTCTGCTCCACGACAGTGATACTGAGTTAGAATGACCAAATGAATGAGAAGCCATTTTCATATCTGTGAAAATGAAGGGAATCAAGTGAAAAGCTTGAACTCAAGGTCAAGAAGAGAGGGAGGACTTTACAGTTGAAAAATTTTTATTCTCATAATATTCCCCTGTAGATAAAAATCGACAGGGTACAAGCTACCAGGAATTCCCATCTCTTGAGGCCCTATGACTGACAGCAAAATGGAGACATATCGGTGGCAGGACACTGAAGGTCTCTTTAAGCTTTATTGAAACAATATATATGATTTCCCCAAGGATCATTTTGCTGTTTTAGGATATGGCTATATCCACAAGGATTTACAAGCATAAAGTACGGATTGAAACTGAAGTAATTGGGTTTGGTGTATGTTTGAATTAGAGTGATATAAACAGCCACCTAGGTATCTTTCTTACCAACTCAACTTCAGCATAATATTCCTCTTAGTGGCACAGAAGAGGGAGCGAGGAGACATAAGAACAGAAGGCAGCATAATATTCAGCTTTTCTCTCATGGAAGAAAGTGAGTGTTAGGAGTTGGCCAGAGAGATGACAATGAAATACTTTTATTTGGAATTTCTCAGTACATTGAAAGGAGAAAAAAAAGTCAGCAGGACAAATTCTTTTGTTTCACCAGAAACTAACCTTCCTCCAGAGCAACTCAGGCTCCAGATTTCTGTCAGCAGGCAGACAACCTGGAGGCCCCAGGGTTGAAACGCCCACACTAGGACTTCTCAGGATCCCATATTTCCCCAGAGATCTGCTTCTCAGATAATATATAAAGTTTGAGGTGGTCTTCAAAATAATGGGTAGACAAAAAGTTGTCATTTTCTTCAAGACAGAGATAATATTCTCCATTTTCCACCATTCCTTACTCTAGTTCCTTCTCAGGATTTTAGATAAACAAACAAGTGTGGGAAGCAATATAGGGATCATCTTCACTATTTAGGATCCTATTTTTTTCATAGCAAAATAAAAGTATATTCAGCCTAAAACCAGGCTAGCATTTTGCTGCCAAGGACACCATCACTGGTAGTAAATACTCTGCGATAAAGGAGACAGAATTTAGGGCAACCATGGTGCATGAGGTAGGGTGGAGCCTTGGGCTTTTTCCTCTTACCTAAGAAGGAATGTTCCAGGGCAAAAAAAATCTGGAAATCTCTTTTCCAGAGTAGAGAGAAGTGAAGATACTCTTTTATATATTAATTTTAGAAAAACTATTGCTTTAGTCTCATGGATTGTGCTTTTCTATGTCTTAACTTCTGGACCCATATTTAGTTCCCCCTAAGTGGAAATGAGGGATTTTAGAAGCAAACTCTTCTCATTAGACTACTTTCTCATGTGTAGTCTCAGAAAGTCAGACCGTTCAGTTCAAACTATGCACATAGAAATTCATTTCCTTGACTAGGATTAAGGAGATGTACGTGGCTGGCATGGTAAAGAAAATGTGGACGGTGAACAGGAAAGAACCACGTTTAGAAACTTCTGTAAGATTTGGTAAGGCTGGAAGAGTAACAAGAAAAAGGCCTTCTGCAGTCCATGAACTTGATACAAAAGGCACAAGACACGGCTCTTGAGCACCCTAACTATCGACCTTATTATCAGCCATTCCTCCAAAGTTTCAGGGAAGTTTGCTGTTAATCAACAATGCTAAAAGATTTGGTTCCTGGTGAAGTTTATCAGTTTTTCTTATCTCTAGTCTTTTTTTCTCAGACTCTGTTTCCTCCCTTTGTCTGTAGCCACTTTAACTGCAAATGTGACTTACTGGCAGTGAAAATGGGAGAGAAAGAGCCCCAGATTTTCATAATACAGATTTAAAATATGGAAGCTCTGAAATACTTCCCCTTAAATTTTATTTCTGAAGATACTGACTATCAACCTTACTTCCTTTGTTTTAGCATTCAATGAAACGTTGCCTAATTTCACTCTGCCTTCTGCCAAAAATTCTTGATGGACAAAATACTTATTATATCTTTTCCCAGTCCCTGTGAGTGCAATTTATCAGAAGTTACTCCTCTTTTCTCTTTTCTCCAGTGACAAAGACAAAAGACTGCACCACTGCATACCTTGCACAGCCTCCTATTTCAGTGGAAACCAGCATTGAAAGTGTTGCATCTTAGAGCCCAAAGGAGACAAAAGCTTTATGGAAGATAGTTCTTCCTTTATATGCAAAACTCCTGTTGCCATCCATAAATCACTCAGGCTGCTATTATAACCCCGAACTTAGGGCATCACCCCTAAGTACAGAAGATTCTGTGAAAGATTAGCAGAACAAAAACAACAAAGGAGTCATTAAAACACCTAGAAGATAAAATGCTTGAAAATATCTCCCCAAATTTCCTTGTTGCAAGACAGTGATTAAGCCATAAATCAAAGCTATTCTTCTTTCTAATGGGGAAAAGCAGATAACTGATCACTGCCCACTGCCTTATTTTTAACAGAATCAACATAAATGAATAGGATGTGGTTTTAATGCTAGGTTTCATTTTATTAACTTTTAGCTTTTCCTATGTTACATTTGCCTTGCGAAAAAAACTAAAACGGTGGAATGTGTTGGATAGATAGATTGTTTCTTTTTCAAAAGTAACTTTCACCAGCAGGTGAATATTCATGTTACAGTTTTTGTACAGCATCACAGAAAACAAATAGTTATTCAAAGTCAATAACTCTGGTCCCTTATGTGATGATACATAAGAAACAAGACAGAGAAACAGATTGTCCAGTATTTGCTTTGAAGTCTTCACAAAAAAAGATCTATACCATTCATGGCATTAAAAAATTTTGAAATCTGCTGGTTTTCACTCTATCTTTTTGTCCTGTCGTTCCATCAACTTCATCTAAACATGCCTGTGGTCTGCAATAAGTAGTTGGATGAAAATGCTTATAATAAACAACAAGAAAAATAATACCTAACACCAGATGTAAAATAGTTAAGATGATCACAATTGTAAAATGTATTTCCTTGATAATGGAAGGTTTCCAGAACATATATACAAACAAAATACCTAGAGTTACTACAGTGTGAGTAGCATAATAAATAGAAATGCAAACTTTCGTTCTTCTCTCCTTTATGTTAAAAAATGTAAAAATTAGAATTATTCCAACTACAGTTCTGTACAGATATTCCATCTTCTTAGATTTGCAAAATGTTGTACATTGTTTCAAAGTCCAAGTGAAGCCACAGATCCAAAGAAATATCAGCAGAATTACAGAAATTCTAACACTCAGTAGAGTGATAAGTGAAATACTGAGTACCCAAGAAGTGATGGTAAGCAGTTTATAGAAGAGATACATGAACTTGGAAGGCACACGAAATTCACCTTTGTCAGGCAGAGATTTTTGTAATGACATCTGATAATCAGCCATTGAAAAGGAGATACCACACAAAGACATAAAAATGGCAGCATCTAGACAAAACACAAGGAAAAATGTTAAACCAGAGACGAAGATACTTATTTTACATTATAATATCTGAATGAAGTTTTGGACAAGTTTATGCTTCTTAACACTTTACCACAATTTTATATTTACTCTGTGTTCCAGAACAAGTCACCCTAATTTTAAGGCTCACTTTAGTTACCTAAATCTAGGCATCTGATACCTGTTTGGTATGCCTGTGTTATCCTGCCCAGCCTATGGTTCTTAAAGGTATTGCCTAAGTGACTTTTTATAGTGAAATCTTCCTTCTCATAGATTTAGCAGAATGGACCATCCAATAGACAGAAAATCTAATTAAACAAGGGTAATTATACTGTGGGATGTGTGTTTTCCAAGGTACGTTTAAAATGTTATCCAATCACAAGTTATATTTTTAAGTAAGATACTCAACTTGCAAATTAAGGAGAAAGACAGACTCACATTGATAGCAATTAGTTTTGCCATGTTGCATGAGGATGTAAATCTGGACAAAAAGTTGTGGCGTGGTCTCAAGAAAAGCCTTGAACACCCTGAGCATGTTAATATCAGTCACCGCATCAATAGCTTGTTTTTTAATGAAGTTGGAAGGATCTGTTTCTGAAGCATCTCCACTGCTTTTTAGTTTAAATGCAGCTTGGCAGCCATATTTCAAAGCAAACCAATACCTAATAAAAAAAGAAAACTGATTAGACAGCAGTTTTGAGAAGAGCAACCCAATAAAATTATATAGTCTAACAACAACTTTTCCCATTTCATTTTCCACTGATATTTATCTTTGAATGTAATCTAGCATCTTCTACTAAGCTAAAATTTTTTCTGGTATCTGTCTGGTATCAGAGATATCAGAAAATCATTTAAGCCCAGCAATACTGTGCAATATAAAAACTAACAGAATCAGACTTGTCTGAATAAAGATTACAAGCTTTGTTTTGTTAGGTTCTTATTTCTTTAAAAGTACTGCATTTCTGAAAATTCCCTTAGCATCTCTCCTCAGTCCCTCTTTGGGATACTCATTCACTTTTTTGTATCTTTCTAAGAGTACTAGTGAATATCCAGCTCTGAACATCCACATCTATGTAAGTATAGTTTAGAGCCATAAGACCAAGTATAATCCCTGATGAATTGCAAACATATAACAAACTTTTTTTAAAAAAAAATCACTACAGTGTTACTTTCTAAATACTCAGGAATATAGCAGTGGATCACAGTCCCCTTCTGCTTACAAAGGGAGCTAGGAAGAATTCCTGACTCCTTCAGGGGTTATAAGTTTAACACCTTCAGCATCTTTAAAGACCAAATCCTTTGACCACAGGGGAGACACCATCAGGGCTTCTTCCACAGCTACAACCAAGACAGCTGGGATTGGCAGGTGCTTGGTTAAGTGCATGCTAGAGGACTCAGAACTTATTCCCTGATATGTTAAAGCATGTTGACCATACAAATGAGAATTGTAACATGGAAGCATTGGTAGGAGTAGGTGTGGAGCAGCTGTGCTACTATTAAAGAGCCTTAGAGGAAGAGCCTTTGCTCTTCTCCTTGCAGAGATTCATAGACCGCATCCCTGCCATTCAGGCTGATTCCTAATTCCATGAGCTGGCTCTAGATCCATTATTTACTCCCAAAGGAAACTCTTTTCTACTTTTATGTTTTAGTATGTTTTTCTTAGAATTCTCTGAATAATCACTCATAAGTAAAGAACTGAACTGTTTGGCAAGGCATCTATAGCTTTTTCCATTTATAAAACAATTAGTATTCCAAAACATCTGGTTCTCATCTGAGATGTAAACATCTGGAAAGTTTGCAATGTTTTCAAGAAAAAAACAATTGGGTAGACTGATCTGCTAGTTGTCCATGGACTCACTCACCAGAGCCTGTGTTTGTCCAAGCAGCAAGAAGTGGAAACCAGCTGCAAAAATTTCAAGCCGCGGAGCTCACAGCTGAGAAGGCAGGTGATATGCAGGGCATGTTGTAAAAGTAATATTTTAGCTGGATGCACACCTGAAATCACTTTTTCAAAGTGCATTCCTTCTGAGCTTGGTATACTAGATTTTTATTGTTATAAGATGGTATGCTATAGTATACCATGAAGTATACTCATGACTGTATACAATACATTGGTTTTTTCTAGAAAAGTTAAAATATTTCTATTGCTCTTTAACTATATATTAAGCACAGTGATGTTCTCTGAGCTCCATGTGCCTTTGTCACTTACTGTAGTTCACTGTGAGAAATTTTTCATCATTTAAAAGTATCTTGAGCTTACACTCCCATTGTCATCTGCCCATTTGGCATGCAATAGAGGGACATTTTAGGAAGGGTTCATAGCCAACTTTTAGGCCTAGTGTTGGACAACTGCATTCCCAGCCTAAGGCAAAGTTCAGTCCATACTAAAGAGTAAGTCAGGTTCAAATTTTCTCCTTTATCATGCCCATGGCTCACCTAAACCCTGTGCCTGCTCTGACCCTATCATAGTTATATTCCTATAATCTATTTTCCTATAATATATCTATTGCTGTAGAAGCTCTGTGCTTCAATATTCATAAACCATAAAAAGTCTTTCCAAAAAGGTACTTCAACTGCAATAAAAAGACATTAACTGAAACTATTGGATTAGTTATGTATTTTAAGTAGATGTCCATCTTAAACTGAAGGTGAAATGGGTATGTCAGTAATACAGACAAATGCAGGTTTATAATTTACTTTTTCTTCCTCTAAATTCATTACAGAGAATATGTTTTGCATTAATTCAAGGTATATTAGCTACTTGGAAGCCAACAGAGTAAAAAACCCATAATTTCTTTATAACTGGAATCATCATATGTGAATGGTAAAGAATTATCAGTGTTTCTAAATATATTTGCTTTGACGGGGGAAAAAAAGGTTTCTGCCTTTGCAGTGTTGCTTTGTGGAGAACACAGATGATAGGGCTCCAACTTGTTATAAAAACTCATGGAAACACAGCTCCACCGTCTCTCTGTTCTTGAGATGCTCCTACATTTTCATCATCATTTCATAAGGGATGAAATTTGCTCCTTATCTCCTGTAAAATTAGGAAGGCTTTGTCTCTGACTGGGAATTCACAGAGGTGACAGCTATTTGGTTTTGTTGCTTCACAGCCTCACAGCCTTCACATGTGACAGGCAAGCTGCCTTGCCAATGTTTCCATATCACATGCTTCCCCTCAGATTTCCAATGAGAACTTTGCAACACAATCCCAGCATTACACTACACATCCCATCTCATCACACTACACTGTTGAAGATTTGGGTGCCATTTAGAAGTTCATACAGGCAGGGTGTGAGCAGCCTGGCAATAGTGATAGTCCTGTCTAAATTCTGGTCACACTGTCACAGTATTCAGCATCATATAAATCATATAAATCCTTAATCAAAGGGAAAATACTCTCTGTTGCATACTAAACTTCACCTTCTAAGTATCAAAATACTGGGATTAAATCCACAAAATTGATGCAACTAAGTCAGGACTTAGGGCAGTAAATATATATTAAGAAAATGTGATCAAACACAAGAATCATAGAATAGTTTAGATTAGAAAAGACTTTAAGACCATCGAGTCCAACCATTGCTCTAACACTACCAAGTCCACCACCAAACCATGTCCCTAAGTGCCACATCTACATGTCTTTTAAATACCTCCATGGTTGGTGACATCACCACTTCCCTGGGCAGCCTGCTTCAATGCTTGTCAAACCTTGCAATGAAGAAATTTTTCCTAATATCCAATCTAAGCCTTCCAGGGGCAAGTTGAGGCTGTTTCCTTTCCTCTCGTCCTATCATCTGTTACTTGAGAGAAGAGATTCACCCACACCTCACTACAGCCTGCTTTCAGTTGTGGAGAGCAATGAGTTTGACACAGGGTGTAGGGTAATGTAACCTCAGTGACCCCTCCAAGCTAGATGAACCATCATACTTGCTACTACTCAGTTCCACTTGCAGAGCCTCACACCTGTTGTGGCAGGACACCTGTGAAGGTAGTCACAGAGGAGACACACCTGGGAAGGAACTTGTTGCCATTGCCCCATAGCCTTAAGTCGCTGTGCTCAGCCAGGTGGAGAGAGGACAGGGAATTGTCCGTATCATGTCCTGTGACTGTTGGGCCTGTCTCAGGGAAGGCCAGGTGTGATTCTATCTGTCTGCCCCTCCCTGATACTCCTCAGCCTACTCACTTCCTCCCAGAGCTCTGCCACTATGCAGAGGAGTTCCTTTACCTGGATGCACCTCCCACACGTGTGCTCACTGCTGCCAGCTGGTACTAACTCAGAGCGGGGCCCACACTGCAGCCCAGCATGAGGTATTAACAGAACATCATCTATCTTGGCTCTGAGTTTTTCTCATTGTCTTTTAAAAACATATAATTAAATAATCTCACACTCAGCAAAGTACTCACATTTACTCTCATGCCTCATGGATTTAGAATTAATCTTTACAAATATGCAAAAAAATCTTCCATCTGCTCCTTTTCAGAACATCAGGGCATCCTGATGCTACCTTTAAGCATCAAGAGACACAATAGCACCTGCCTGTATCACAACAGCTTCTGCCTGTATGGCCTTCTATTCTGAAAGCAAAGGTTAGGAATTGCTAAAATGTAGTCTCCAACAGGTGTGTCCTTGACTGATGTTGCAAACTGCTACACATCAGATGGCTCCAGAATTCATATGGTGCCCTAGGGAAATGTCCTGCTTTCCCACCTTCCCTGACTGTGTTATTGTTTTGTTATCTGTTATTTCACAGACTGTTCTAGATTCTACCAACATCTGTGTGAACCAGTTAAATTAGTCAGGCTGAAAATCATTGTAGTCAGCATAGTTAATATATACTTTACCAACTTAATTAGGTCTCCTTGCAGAGAATAATATTTCATATAAAGTACAATTGCAGGTATACATTCTTTTCATTAAAATAAACTAAAGCCTTATTAGATATGTAATATTTTTATTTAATTTTTCTTTTTTTAATATATATATATATGTATATACATAAGTGTATACACATATATGATTTTCATATTTATTACTTAGCATTGGCAGTGTGATAAGATAACCAAACTGATTCCCATTGTGCTGTGCACTGTACAAACATGACAAAGTTCCAGTAGCTAAAGGGTACCAGCTTGTAAGTCACCAGTACCTAAAGGGAGCCTAGAAGAAAGCTCGAGAGGGACTCTGTACAAGGGTATGTAGTGATAGAACAAGGGAGAATGGCTTCAGACTGAAAGATAGTAGGTTAGCATGAGATATTAGGAATGAAACTCTTTCCTGTGAGGGTGGTGAGGCACTGGCACAGGTTGCCCAGAGAAGTTGTGGATGCCCCATCCCTTGAAGTGTTCAAGGCCAGGTTGGTCTAGTGGAAGGTGTCCCTGCCCATGGCAGGGGGGTTGGAGTGAGATCATCTTGAAGATCCCTTCCAAATCAAACTGTTCTATGAGTCTAAGTTCCCTGGTTCAAAGATGCAGCAAGTAATGTAAAAGGCATATGAGAAATGGAAGAAGCGAAGAAAGAAGGGAAGAAATGAAGAAAGATAATTTGGTAATCTTCCCAATTCAAGCATCCTAAATTCACTGGCCAAGACATATTTACTGGGGAGGCTCCCATTTTCATCTGTAGTTCAGGTTCCTGTCCCAAATGACCTTCTGGAGAAGTTCATCTTGACAAGTATGACCTGACTCGTGACAGAATCTATTTTTATCCATTGACTGCATCCCTAGACCTGAGAGACTCATTGTCTAAATTAACTGCATAAATCAGATGACTAAGAGGTAGGACATGAGAGAGTTGTACCTTGATATTCCAAAGAAAACACATACAACAGGAAGTAGCTGGTCACAAAGGTACAAGCACAAATGCCAGCTTGCTGTTATCAGTTTATACTTTACAGTATGCATTTTCAACCTGCTGAATTGTAAGGAGTGGCTGAAAGAACTTTGCAGTTTATATGTATCATCTTGGAAGTTTTCCAGGTGTAAGTGGTAGCATAGGAGAAAATATCATTTGTGCTACAAAGAACAGGAGATCAAGTAGAAAACACTGTCAGTGCAAAGGGCAAAATAATGTTTGCTACGTAATAAGCCACTCAGAGAAGATGGGGCTAAGTCTGGGAAAGAAGATTCAAAAGTTATAGAAATTCATGGTAAGAGGTATTCATTCAGGAAAGGGTATGAGTTCAGGTAAGTCCAAGAGTTTTGTGGATTACCTTAGAGTTAAGGTAATTACCCTAGAGCTAAGCAAAGATTCCTATCACAATTAACTCAGTCCCTGCAGAAGTACTGCTGCAAGTGTTCTTATATGCAGCTATTCATGTCTCTATTGAATTTTGGTTGTTTTTCTACATATGGTTAGATTCTCAGGTTCAAAAATTACCTCTTACTTCAGCTGTTTAGTGTGCATAACATCACTTTGAAAACTTATATTTATCAGTTACTACAGTGCTACACTATAAAGCAAGCAGTTTTATTACATATGCCATATCAAAAGGCTGATTAATCAAACAGAATTGGGTTGTGAATGATAAAAATTATTACCTACAAGTAAATAAAAGAAGATCTGAAGGTACATCAAAACCTGATAAAATTTACCCTGGCAAAAGCAGACAAAAATCTCCTTCCTTTCATAGTAATTGTTAAGGCCAGAACTGGTCTCGTCCCTGAAGTCATACTAAGCATTTCTTAATAACTGTCTTAAAGGAACATGATTTCTCATTTTAAGATAAATTTAGAGGTTTACGTACCTTATAAAAATTCCACAGTGAAAGAGATGAACTAGAAAAATCCATTTCAACTTCCCAGTATCAGTACCTTCCCAGTCGTTTTTAAACCATTCATAACTAAATATCTGAGTTACTAATGATGAAATACCTCTAAAACACAGTATCAATATACTCCAAGAATATTGTCCTTGACAGAAATATTTACTAGCTACCCAAAAGTCCACTCCAATATCAACTACATAAATTATAATTCCGCCAACTAAAACAAAAAAATCCTGCTTAGTAAATTTCATCATGTGTTAGACTGCCACTTATCATTCTCTCCTCACTTCATGTAAAGGAATCTAAATGCTTTACTACAATAGAGTCTTTTTACTGATGATACCACCTGCTCATAGGGCTCTATACAAAGGAAAGTTGGGTTATGCATTTTTATTATGGCAAAGGGACTTGCATTTTTCTGTGTTCTTGATCTAAATATTAAATTAACTTCCTTGATACATATCTATTCTGGAAAAGATAAATGTAAATTGTCTTTTTAATTGGTGGAGTCATTCTTCATTAGTGGTTCCTAAAAACAAGAAGAAAAAAGAAGATTAGCAGTAGCAATATCTCCCTCATTTAAAGTATCATACTGGTTCCTAAAAACAAGAAGAAAAAAGATTAGCAGTAGCAATATCTCCCTCATTTAAAGTATCACACAGCAAATTCTTTAAATTCTCACAACCATTTAAATAGGCAAGCACAAAATACAGAATGTAATGAGATAGTGAACAATCAAGCCAAGAGAGGTGCATTTCTGAACCTGCTGAGGTCACTCTCCCAACCAGTGATTCTCCAGTCAGGCAGCTGTTGAGGTAATTCCTAACGGTTGCAAAACACTAAGAAACAAGCAAGTTTTTAAAAGCAGTTTATGGGGAAAAGATTGATACCTTTCCAGGAGTTTCTTACCTTCTGAGCTCTTCTCCTTTACTGTACGCAGCACAAAACATTGAGAAAACTTCTGTCTTGAGTGCACACAATTGCATCAGAGTACACATCATTCTGCAATTTCCAACTGCGTTACTGCATTTGTGTGCATACATCTAGTGGTTTTATCATTCCTGCTCTGTTTTCCACATGCAGCAAGAAAGTGCTGAATAGGATTGCAGCTCTTCTGTTAAAGAGGCTTGTAACGATCTGGCCTGCACCAGTGTACACCTCTTTGAGAATTGTCTCCCAAGCTGTGTGAGAAGTAGCTACATGCAGATGATCCAACTACATAGTCCACTACAAATAGAATTAATTCGCAGTTTGAACTACATTTACACTGCCCAACACTGCAAGGATTCTTTTGACTTCTTTGGGTAGTCCTTACATGTTTTTCCTCTGTAGATCTTTGGTGTTTGCCAGGTGAAACAGAGAAGCTATATCGCAGTACATTCTTTGTCTCATTGATGTCCAACTGTGCAAAGCTAAAAATTAAAATGACAAAATCCCTTATCTCATTTATGTGTCTTAGGAAAAAGGTGCTGGCAGCAAGCACAAAGCATGGAATGCAGAACATGGCAACCCCACTGGGTTTGGGGTGGTGCCAGTGCCAAACAGCAGCAGACAATACATGGGGAACAGCTGGGCCAGGGATCTTAGAGCAGGGGAAGGGCATGTGTAGGCAGGTCTCTTTGGATTTTTGTGAATTCAAGCACACTGCCACAGAGGAATGAAATGAGAGAATTGGTTAATAACTCATGAACAAAGGTAATGACTATTCTTTGCTTGTGTTGACTGGGCTCGTCTATGCTGTGACCCAGGTATAAACCCGAAAAAGAGAATTTAAGCTCTTAATTTCCTAATAAAGACAAGTGGGAACATAACAGCCTGAAAAGGTGCTGAGTGTCTAAACACTATTTTTTTGGATCTAGGCCTTAGCTTTTTCTAGCCTCTCATTCTATCTCCTACTTAGGTTTCATGTCCTGGTCCAGGCAATATTTCAGCTGGGATAGCTGGAATCCTTACACTGTTCTTTCCTATCCCCTACAATAAAATACCACTAATGTCTTTCAAATCACTAACGCAATTTATATCCAATTCACATTTAGATTCTGGGAAGTGGACTTCACTACAAAGGCCAACATAAACTAAACTTTGTGTTTACAAACACAAATAGACAGTTAACCATGAGCCAGCAATGTGTCTGTGTGGCCAAGGTGGCCACACAGTGCCTGGGGTGCCTTGGGTGCACTACAAAGAGTGTGGCCAGCAGGTTGAGGCAGGTTATTCTACTCTTCTACTCTGCCTTGGTGAGGCTGCATCTGCAGTACTGTGTCCAGTTCTGAGCTCCCCAGTTCAATAATGACAAGGAACTAATGGAGAGGGTCCAGCAGAGGGTTATGAAGATGATTAGGGGCCTCTAGCAACTCTTCCAGGAGGAACAACTGAGAGAGTTGGGCTTGTTCAGGCTGGAGAAGAGACAACTGAGAGGGGATCTTATTAATGCATACAAATATCTTAATGCCAGGTGTCAAGAGGATGGAGCCAGACTCTTTTCAGTGGTGCCCAGCAACAGGACAAGGATCAACAAGCACAAACTGAAACACTGGAAATTCCATTCGAATATAAGGTAAGACTTCAAGGTGAAAAAGCACTAAAACAGACTGTTCAGAGAGGTTGTGGAGTGTCCTTCTATGGAGATATTCAAAACCCATCTAGATGCAATTCTGTGCAACCTGCTCCAGGTGAACCTACTTTAACAGGGAGGTTGGACTAGATGATCTCCAGAGGTCTCATCCAACCCCAGCTGTTCTGTGATTCTTTGAAATGTTTTATATTTGAAAACTTGTGTAGGAACCAACAAGAATTTCTTGCTACTGTTCATTCATGAAAATTCCAAAGGAAACTGTATTTACTCTATATAACATCATATCATTCTGCAAGTTGACATACCACCTTTGTCAAGCTGTACCCTTTTTTGTAACAAGAACATTATGCATTGCTTTTAGAACTGATTAAAACCAAAACCAAATATAGAACCAAACCAAAGAAAACAAAAAAACCCTGGTCAGGTCCAT